GGCAAGATCTGTATTTGCCCCTGTTTTTCTTCTTGGGGATTTTTGAGTAGGCTTGTAAAGCACGGCCTGGCCATCGGAATCTCGACATTACCCAACAAATTCCATGTATCCCTCCACACCCACTTTGTATTCACCCTATTATATCCAGATCTATTCGAAAGTTGGCTCGTCAGACCTAGATAAAATTTCTGCCTTTATAGATATTTGTTGATTCTTTCCGAACAGTTAGTCGGTTATCATCCAGCTGATATCACCACGTCTGTCAGTTGTAGAGCAGATGCCTACGCGTAAATGCTGAAAGTTGGATGGCGGTTTCCGCAGGAACGAAACGCGAGGCTATGGCGCATCTCTACCTCTAATTACCACTTGATACCTTGGGCATTAGAACATCCGATGATTAAACAGCACCGGGTACTCAACTGAATATTCTTTAGCTTGCTTGTGAATGCTTCGCCATCATCTCATGCGCCTCCCAAGATGTGGTAGAGCCATACAGTGCGGATTTCGTTATTCACACAGACAACAATGGCCGCCACTTAGGTGTTGCTTACGTTCTGTGAGCCAAATTGACCATCATTCGACCGTGACCTCAATTATATACGAAATCCTTCTAATCCATTAGACAGATTGGTTCTATGTACCTCATAGCCCGGGACTCGGAAATAATCCTCAGCACTTGACTAATGCGCCGATGAAACGAGTAACATCCACATGTTGGGCCACAGAGAATAAGCCTCATTAAACAAGTTAAACATTCTAAAAATTTCTTCTAGCTCTGTGCCTCTATTTGGTCTTCGCCTAATTGATGCAACCCTCGAGTGCATTACCCCCAAAATCGGCGCTACTTGTCATTCAGTTCGACACTTACTTTTCCAACCGGAACATCAAGCTAACTTCATTGCCTACCTAGCCCACCCAGTTTTGTATTCTCATGGTTGAGTTTGATGCACGGTTGGTTGCAATAAACGTTGAGACGATCCATCTGCGTTTCAATACCTGATTTAGTCAGCGAGAGAACGAATGGCGTATTAACAAACTGACCTCTGTGTATCACAGGTGGCAGCAATCTCTCAAGTTCTCTTAGCTTCTCCACCACTTGAATTACACCTTACTCCTTTAGGCACCGCCGTGCCCTTCAGAATACTTAAGTCGGTGCTCAAGCTTTGGCAGGTGAGCTTTAGCAAGACTGATGTTGGCTCATAGTGTTAGCAACTTAAAATTCAACCACAGATTCAGTGACGTTCATGTAAGAGTTGCGCGATAATCTTCTCAGGAGCTTACCGCAAGTTTACCACCTCGCGCTGAGAACTTAACTAGCAGTGCTACACACCTTTTGACTTGTGCCTTTCAGAACGCCAGCCGCCGAACTACAAGAACAAAACCTATCTAGAAAACTAGGGTAAAAGCCTCGATTATGTGTAACCGTCCGTTTATCCGTGAATCTGTGAGCCGCACTTGGTGAAGGTGTTCCAATAATCAATGATGTCCATTTCTGATCCGAATAGTCCCTTTTCACCCCGCTTTGATTAAGCGTTACCCAAATCAAAGCCGTTGAATTTGATTGGTCTCTTTTGATACCAGGCATGATAGCTGTGTACCCTTTTTTCATTCCATCGAATTGGAATTTTTTCAACTAGTGTTCATTCCATCAGCAGCCTTATTAGTGGCACAGCTCTAGTCCACCTGTTGTACTTCCCCGATGCTCCTTGGAAAAGTCTATCATGAAACTAGCTAACCCACTAGCGTTATCGGACAACGGTAGGGCTGGAGGACATGGCTTTCTGGCTAACCCCACAATTTTAAGTCCAGTTACGAAGCACGTGGATTTATCATTGTACAGTCTGTATACATCAGCCATAACAAGGTAGTCCGTCGTCTGACAATGACGTGTTCATCAAAAATGTGAAAGCTGGTGCTCTGCGACGACTCAGGTAGCCCGCATAAATTGACAAATGGATGTCCACCGAACAGCAATATATGTTAGGTAGAAGGTGGTTGTGGTGTAAATTGTAAGGGAACAACAGATATATTTAGGGAAACACGCCTCACAGACGTAATAAAAAGCCTGATCATTTTGTGACTTAATATTTTTTCATCTACACCCACGCACTCTTTGCACTTAAGGATTTCAACAACAGATATATTTAGGGAAACACGCCTTACAGACGTAATAAAAACCCTGATTATTCGGTGACTTAATATCTTTTCATCTACACCCACGCACCCTTTGCACTTGAGGATTTTGTCTCAGTCTGCAATCGAACGAAATTAGACAGGCCGCGTCAAGGTCATGAACACCTGTCACTTTACTCGTTCAAGAATGGTTTCCAGTAGGATTTGGGTGTTGGTGGAAGATCTGCACATTCGACGATGGTTCACTTGTTTAGGCCTCAAAGATAAGCATAGACATGGGGAGAACGTAGATGTTGTGGTGTGATTGTCGTCGTGAGTGCGTCAGGATTACGATGAGGAACAATGCCCGCCAGGTAAGAAAAGTCATGGGTAAAGCCGTTGAGAATGAATATGGAACGATCAGTTGAATTTCTGTGAAGCCATGATCCACAAGCAAAGCGTCATATGCTTGTGACACCCACCTGACCATAGCCAGTCAACCAAAATGAATGACAGATATGAGGCCCTTGGTGAAGCTGGTAGTGGGAAGAGTATGAATGAGTTGAGTTCAACGTACGCAAGAGAAATGGGCGGTTGGAATGAAAGGGCGAAATGAACATCAAATTTCACGATAATTGGAAAGTTAATAAGTTTAGAAGGAATGATGAACCGTGTCCGAAGCTTATACCGCGCAAAGTATCTAGCTCCTGTACCAGAAAACCAGATTTCTGGTGCTCTTACAAAGTATTCCCAGTGGGAACGTCACGAAAAATTTGCATGGGACATAATAACATGTGTTAGGTTTCGCTTAGCGGCTGACATCGTGCTCCCGTATTACTCGCATGGACTTCCAAATACATGTCAGACGGCTTCTCGAATATGCCAACCAAGTTGTCTACCCAGGACGCACGAAGAACATAAACCCTAATAGGCGAGTCCAGAGAACTGTTACGAAAATGGTTTCCGGCATTAATTTCGAGTACTTCGAAACGCGTCTCGTGGTGCTTGACTTTCTTCCCCTGAAATATAGTTGCCCTCAAGAAGACCTAGTTCTTACGCCCCGTTTGAACATGGCTTAGCCAACAGATTACTGACAGTTGACTCAGCTAACACGCGGCGAGGACATTGTAAGAAGATTTTCAGTCTCAGAGCACACCATAATTTTTTTTTCATTTCGGTTAGCTGCTGCGTGGAATAACCTTCCTCCGACGGCTGTTCACGTTACATCTATTACCCAGTTTAAAGCACTATTAGACGTTTTTTTTAAGTGTGAATCCTCTTGCTGGTGAGCTCATTATTCCGCGCTGAGAATCTAAGAAGCAGTGCTACACCCCTTTTCGCTTTTGCCTTTCAGGCGAACGGCAGTCGCTGAAGGATAAGACTATAACCTAGCCGGGAAAATTGAGCTAAAGCCTCAATTCCGTGCACCAATCCGTGAATCAATGCGTGAATCCGTCCTTCCGTCCTATTGGCTGGTGGCAAATTCGAATTCGGTTGGACATCGGTGCGTCGGGTTCAGTGGACATTTTGCAGCGGCGCCGACCAGAGCCGGTCAACAGAGCGCTTGGGCTCAACAGGTCATCTAACCCACCGGATACCGCGCGGCCGACTACCATCCCTTCTGGATTTGGTCATTACCAACGAAGGACACGTCCTTCAGGTGTTAATTAACTCCCCACTGGGACAGATTGACCACTGTATGCTGACCTTTGATTTCATCCGCTACTGGGCCAGTACTCCCGAAAGTCGTAAGTAGATTCGAAACTTCTGCCGTACAGACTTCTCAGGAGTGTGCATCTTCCTTGATCATTTGAAACTGGGACCAGGTTCAGTGTAAGAGTTATGCAGGACCATTGTCCAGAAAGTTCACGAGGCTGGCGCGATGTTCATTCCCAAAAGACCAGCAGGCAGTCGGATGGACCGCAAGCTACCTAAAGAAGACAAAAAAGATGACCTAGCGTTTCTTAAAATGTGGAACCGACGTAAGTCAGAAATCCGCCAGTGAAACCTACCAAAACAAGTTACCATACTAGACCTTTCCCGGAAAAACAAAAATGTGCTTTTTTAGTACATGAGACATCGCTACAGAAATAAGCCATGAGTGACAGAAATGAGGAATTCACAAATAGCCCAGTATTGGTATCTGAAGTCTACAGAGAACACTATGTAGCCCTCCGTTCTGCCCCAGCGACCTCGTCACACCCTAGCTTGTCAAGGCGTGACTACGGGCGGCCTCTAACCAACTTGGTCTTCATGGAGGGAGACATTCTTCAATGTGAATCCTCTTGCTGGTGAGCTCATTATTCCGCGCTGAGAATCTAAGAAGCAGTGCTACACCCCTTTTCGCTTTTGCCTTTCAGGCGAACGGCAGTCGCTGAAGGATAAGACTATAACCTAGCCGGGAAAATTGAGCTAAAGCCTCAATTCCGTGCACCAATCCGGGAATCAATGCGTGAATCCGTCCTTCCGTCCTATTGGCTGGTGGCAAATTCGAATTCGGTTGGACATCGGTGCGTCGGGTTCAGTGGACATTTTGCAGCGGCGCCGACCAGAGCCGGTCAACAGAGCGCTTGGGCTCAACAGGTCATCTAACCCACCGGATACCGCGCGGCCGACTACCATCCCTTCTGGATTTGGTCATTACCAACGAAGGACACGTCCTTCAGGTGTTAATTAACTCCCCACTGGGACAGATTGACCACTGTATGCTGACCTTTGATTTCATCCGCTACTGGGCCAGTACTCCCGAAAGTCGTAAGTAGATTCGAAACTTCTGCCGTACAGACTTCTCAGGAGTGTGCATCTTCCTTGATCATTTGAAACTGGGACCAGGTTCAGTGTAAGAGTTATGCAGGACCATTGTCCAGAAAGTTCACGAGGCTGGCGCGATGTTCATTCCCAAAAGACCAGCAGGCAGTCGGATGGACCGCAAGCTACCTAAAGAAGACAAAAAAGATGACCTAGCGTTTCTTAAAATGTGGAACCGACGTAAGTCAGAAATCCGCCAGTGAAACCTACCAAAACAAGTTACCATACTAGACCTTTCCCGGAAAAACAAAAATGTGCTTTTTTAGTACATGAGACATCGCTACAGAAATAAGCCATGAGTGACAGAAATGAGGAATTCACAAATAGCCCAGTATTGGTATCTGAAGTCTACAGAGAACACTATGTAGCTCTCCGTCCTGCCCCAGCGACCTCGTCACACCCTAGCTTGTCAAGGCGTGCCTACGGACGGCCTCTAACCAACTTGGTCTTCATGGAGGGAGACATTCTTCAACTCTTGCACAAGACAAACCCATTCTGCCAGACGATGTTCATACAAGGATTTTGAAGGAAACGCTTTCACGCTGGCAGAGCATTTCTACCTTGGGTTGTCAGCGAAAGCAACCTTTCTTCTCCTTGGAAGGAAGCTATTGTCACTGAAGTTGACAAAACTGGCAACTGACTATCACCCGGCAGCTACAGACCTATTAGCCCTGCAAAGTGATGTAACGCATTCTGGAGCGGACCATCCTAGATCACCTTACTGCCAACCACTTGATATCATCAGTTCAACACGGATTCCTCCCAAACCGTTAATGAGTGATAAATATGCTCGTATTCTTGGACAGCCAGGTTAAGGACGAGGGACTCATTAAATGCAATAATTTTCGACTTCTCAAAAGCATTCGATCGAGTCCCACTATAGTAAGCACGCTATGGAAGCACCATGGGACAGTGATTATCCGAGGGCGAGTGTTCACGACAATTTCTTCGGATGGAAAACAGACAGCTCATGAGCCGGAGCCCGGTGAGCATGGCTGTACATAATCAATACTTGTCCGTAACTCAACCAAACTGACAGGCACCGTATACTAAACTAGCCCCCTTTTTGAAGAACACCGTCCCCGGTGTACCATGGCCTACATGAACCGGCCAGTGCTAGTGGTGTGGTGCTTGAGGCTGATGGGCGTGTGCAGAGGTTACTGTGTCTGTGGCTGCATCCACCGTATGTGAGTGAGCAACGTGCTAGCTCTGAGGCCTTATGTACAGACTGTTTTAGGTCCACCAATGTGTGGTAACCATCCTGGGGTGGTCGTCAAATATGTAGTATGCACGCTATGGAACCACCAGGGGACAGTGAATATCCGAAGGCAGGTTTTCACGACAATCCCTATGGATGGAAAACGGAGACAAAGCTCATGGGCCGAAACCCAGAAAGCAAGGTTGTACATCACCAATACTTGTACATAAATCAATCAAACTGACAGACACAGTACACTACACCCGCACGTTTTGCTCTCTACTCGGGTCTTACGGGATTTGAGGGGAAATTCTATACTGGGTTAAGGGATTTACATCAGACAGAAATTTCCGAGTGAAAGTAGGCTTAACCTACGCTTCTCTGGTGCTGGTCTCCATTGTAGTTCCTCGAGGCTGTCTTGTGATCACTGCTATTTCTGATCTAGGTCAACGACCTTCCAGGGTCTCTTTCAAGCGCATGTCTACTTTTTGAATTCCTGGAGTTCGACCTCCAGTGGCATCCAAATGGTTGTTGACGCTTCGTAATCTTTCACACACTTACGGTAATTTATACGTTCTCCACCTCACGGTTTGCGTCGTTCCGAAGGAAGCATGGGGAATAACAGTCGTAGGTAGAGGTGAGATAGCTCAGTGGCTAGAGCGCGAATTTACTGGCCAGGAGGTCTGTTGTTCGAACCCGACCCTTTCCCTGTCCAGGCTTGGGCACTCTGGCACTATCCCAGCCCTCGTGCTTCCTTTGGGTGGCATGGCACCTAGGCACCGAAATGGTGTCACAGCTGAATGGCTTTCACTCAGTGTTAAAATCGTTTTTGGCGAGAATCTTGTCGATCTGAAACATGCTGATGATACCGTCCTACTCTTTGAAGACGATTGGACTGACAACCGTCATACCATCTTTCGGCGGCTGCCTAGCACCAAGGTCATGCAAGGTCAGGAAAGTCATGCTTCATAACGTGCAGTCTTTGGACACACCCTTTGCCTACATAGTTGTATTAGCTCCGACGGAAGTGTCCGATGAAGTCAGTGCACGAATCTCAAAGGCTTGAATCATATTTACTGAGTTGCGTCACTTGTGGCATCAAAAAGGCATATCACTGGGTCTCAAATGTCGCGTTCACTAGGCTACAGTGAGAACTGGGTTGTAGTTCGGCTGCAAAAACTGACCTCTATAGATAGATAATGTAGGGCGTCTTCAGGTTTTCGCTCACTGATGCCTCAGGGGCACTTCTGATGTCAGATGGCGTCAACAAATTCGTAACGAGGCAATTGCGAAATGGGTATTTGGTTGTGCAGCAGGTACTTCAATTGAGCAGAACGTCCTGCGCCATCAACTGCACTGTTTTGGCCAAGTGCTACGCATGCCGAAACATCGTCTACCGAGATGAGTGTTGTTCTCCGTGCTTTCTTCAGAATGACGCAAACCGTGAGGTAGACAACGTATGACTAAGCAGAAGGGTATGAAAGATTACGGAGAGTTTGGGTGTTGTTCGTGTGGTACGCTTCCCTATGAACCGCTAACCCTTCTGCGCTTGGCTGGAAGCGTTGCAAAAAGTGGAGTCTGATCGATGTCAGCTGCGTTCTTGTTGTCACTTTCTTTCCAGATTGTCTGAACGTCTGTGGGGTGTAGGCACCTCACAATGCGTGTCATAGCCCAGTACCAGAAGCCCTTGCACACCCACTCTTCCCTCTTAACTGCAAGACTTTCAATATAATTAGTTAAACCCTGTGGTTTTACGGCAGTGAAGTACTCGTGTTAACTGATATTACTTTGATGGTGATGACTGATGATGCGCAACATTTGGTGCCGCTAGCTGCATGGGTTTTCATAATGGCCGCAAAATGGCTAGTAGGCTTTCAATAAGTGTGATTGGATTGTTTTATCCTTTTCGCTACTCTTTGCCGAAGCCGAACTGTGCGATTTCTGTATGCGAACTCTTGTTACAGCAGGCGGCAAAGTATACTGATGAAACCTCCCGTGATTACACGTGCTGTTGTGGGTGTTTTGTCATATTTCAACTTCTGCGGAAAACAACAATTTGGCGGTTCGTGTTGAACGCTTCTTGACACCCTCGTTGTCCTATATTGATACATAATAACCCGATAATGTATTTTCTCTTCAGGCTGTCGTTCCAACTGAATTATCACGGACCCGTATGTGGCGTGAACTCTCTGTTTGGTGAAGTATTATCACGGACCCGTATGTGGCGTGAACTGCTCTCTGTTTGGTGAAGCCAGCTCTACTCATGGCGGATAGCTCACCAAGAGGAACATATACACATGAAGATTCGGACGATGATCCCGACTACTATGATTATGATGAGCCAGACCCTTATGTCGAGCATGAACGGTATTTAAATGGATATAATATTATTCATCCTTTAGAGAGTTTTTAGATCAACGTAATGCTGAAACTTTCAAGTACCAAGAAATGGACGTTGACGCTGTTGAGAGCCTCCTGAACCAGGATGTCGAAACTTTGTGCAATGCGATTCAAGTAATTGTTCATCCTGATAAATTTTCTATATTTCAATTCCACCTACATGAGACTCATTTATGTGAAATATCTTCCTCTGCAGCAATCACACCTCTCTAAACAACTTTGTAGAAGCATGGGCAGATGATGCCGTCCTTCAATTTACGCTTGATTCTGTTATCAGTGCGCTTGCGACAATCAGTCTTGTAACCACGTTGAATACCACAAATTATTCGTATAATTACTTCTGTCAGCCATCTCGAAACAGAACTGCTTCACAAAATACTGAGTGAGGCCCAGTATGGTCATGCAACAATACGTGGTCGTTGTGGAGACGGTCAATGTGTAATCCGAACGCCACCATCATGTTTGTAGTTGTCGCCACAATGACGACGACTGTTTCTTCAGTGCTCTGGTCCTTCAAAGTGCAAAGTCCTGCTTCAGAACGTGCCATCTGCGAACATATCCCTTACAATTCAAGGAGAACCACTGGAGATTGTGGAAAACTTTACATACCTCGGTAGTTGTATTAGCTCTGACGGAAGTGTGTCTGATAAAGTCAGTGCAAGGATATCCAAGGCTCGAATCACGTTTGCTAATTTGCGTCACCTGTGGCGTCAAAAAGGCATCTCACTGGATCTAAAGGGTCGTGTTTACCAGGCTACAGTAAGGGCTGTGTTGTTGTATGGGTGCGAGACATGGCCTCGGGAAAATATCCAGCATCATCGACTGCGATGGCTCGGTCATGTGCTACGCATGCCGAAACACCGTCTACCGAGACGAGTGTTGTTCTCCGTGCCTCCTTCAGGATGGCACAAAGCGCGAGGTGGACAGCACATGACTTGGCAGAAAGGCGTGAAAGAGATCACGAAGAGTTTGGGTGTTGTTGGTGTTGTACGCCTCCCAGGATGGGATCCTCGTGACCCCGTCTGTGCTTGGCTGGAGACGTTGCAAGAAATAGCGGCTGATCGATGTCAGTGGCGTTCTTGCTGTCCGTTTCTTTCCAGATTGTCTGGTTGAGCGGTTGGAGGTGTAGGCACCTCATTATGCTTGATATAGTCCAGCACCAGGTCCCCTCCCTCAACCACTCCTTTTCTCTTCTCCTCTCTGTAGGGCTTTTAATACAATCATATATATGTATATATATAACTAGACAAACCTTATGGTTGCACGGCAGTGAAGCATCAGTGGCAACACTGATGTTGCTGTCCTTGATGATGGTGATGAATGTCAATTCCAAGAGGTAATATCCTACTCTTTCTATTCTACGTCGATATATTGATGAATATACTAGGGCTTCCACAGAATTTGACTCCATTCAACTTGGTCATACCAAGTTTAACATCACACCCAACCTCGTATGATGGCTGATCTAGAATAAATGTATATAGCCTCGCATATAAACGTCACACAAGGCTAGCACGACCCCCTCGATGCAATCTCCTTGGTACGCCACGATGTATATCATTAAGACAGCTTAATTTACCATAAAAAAAATATAAAGTGACCTTGGAGAGTCAGTGAGGATCCGATTGCCGTCATCGGTACACATGCACAAGTTTTTGAAATGCTTCATCATGTAACCGCGGCGTTGTCTGAATAGCGATAGTGACATTGATAAAAGAGATGGGTCGTTGGGTCCCGCGAATGAAGCCGAATTATATCATGAAGGCATGCATTGGATAGGTTTTACACACTTTCGGGGGCTTTTAAGCACTGGGCGTACAATGGAGCCTTATCCCAAGAGCACCTGAACTTGTACTAGTGGGCCACTCTTAGTATAGAACTTGAGATGGACCAAGTGGTTAGAGCGCGAATTTACTGACCAGAAGGTCCGTGGTTCGAACCCGACCTCTGCCGCATCCCGACTTCCCCTGTCTAGGTTTGTTCAACCTGGCAGTATCCCAGCCCTCGTGCTTCCTTCGTGTGGCATGGCAGCTAGGCACCGAAAGGGTGCTACAGCTGAATGATTTTTTTTGTTTTTTAAGAGAGCGGGCCAGGGTTCTACGTATGTGGTAAAAATCTCAACATACAAACTCCTGGTCTATTTTCCGCTTATTTCGGTGACTACTGGCTATTGGTTTCCGGCACTCACTCGTCAGTGTGCACCTGTTGAACTGTCACCTCTTTTATTAACCAACAGTTGTTTTAACTTAGGCAGCAAACAACCCATATCTCAATCTCATGAAGAACCTTGCGGTATGTTCACAAAGTAATTGCAGCTGTCGGATTTTTATTGAGACACCGGCCCGCTCTGCTCGAACTAGACAGTCCGTCGATAATGTATGCCCATGGAATCGTGGACATTTAAATCATTAGTGTGGCTTATCAAGAGGATGCTTGCTAAGGTCCTCTCTGTTCTCCGACTTAGCACGAATTCCAGGCAATCCTTATCCCGCCGAAAATGCCCGTGATGTCGATCCCACTGAAACTGCGCATTTTGGCGCAAATATTAGAATGGGACTTCACAAAATTTTCTACTATCTTCACCAACCTAATGTGCGTCCGAGCCACTCGTGACTGTTGACATTAATCCAGAAATCAGATGCTTCCAGTCGCCCACTAAATACCGGCCCAAATGCTTCATTTTTACGTTATTTTTAGTCACCTAACGATGTTGGTCTTCATAATTCGTCGTTATTATCGACAGTACAGCATGTGTTGGACACTCGTTCTTCGTTACCATGGAGCCTCAATTCATTCGAAAGCCTTATTTTGTTAAACCGGAATAGAAGTGAAAAGGGAAAGGGTACTGTTTTTTCAGCCTACCACATTTCTGAGGTGCGTACACCTGACACTCATTCATGTAGCCCTGGAAGAGACTGACAACAAAGTTGCCGTTTACAACCAAATTACGTGCGATTCGCATACTTCGCGCACGCCAGTGTGTCACTTTCTGGTGAAACATGGAGTTCTGTTTATTTATTCTCTTAGCACACGGTATTTTGGAAAGGGTTCGTGATTGACCTTTTTCACATACGCGGTGCTTAATTAGGCCTCACCGACCGGATTGTCCAAATCACGAGAGAGTCGGCCATCCAACTCCTAAGGTGTACTATGATAGTCTCGCTAACTGATCTAACAACAAAGGTCCATGCTTTTAGCTTAACCTACGCCTTCTGTTTGCTCCCATACTTAAGAAACTGAACATTATAAAAACGCTCTTCATCCTCATAGGGTCGACTGCTTGTTACCCTGCGGTCAAAGCGTATCACGGTTGAAAAAACCTCCTCATCTCTGACTGACATCTTCGATCACTTTTTTCTTGATGATACTACAGAGCTTTTCCTTTCAACAGCATCGATTTTTTAGTTTCAGTTCAGCATCTCCTCAACCCTGATGTGTTCATCTAACCCATTCATTAACAGAGAACTGTCATTTTGCTTATTCGAACTCAACGTCATCGTCATCATAATAGCAACACTAGATAAGAATACTAGTGTTTCGCTACCATACAGCACAGGGAGGGTCACATGGACCCCATACTGGAAGGCGAACATCACCAACGGCACCCAGAGTCTTAGGACACTCTTCATTCCCTTCTGCCATGTCAGTTTTTGTCCACTCCCAAAACCGGTGATCGTCTCGGTAGGCGGTCACTGTGCATGATTAGAATGGCCTAACTGCCGTAGAGGTTGCAGTGCTGAATGCACTCCTTGAGGGAAGTTCTCTACGCTTCACCAAACCCATCCACCGATCACCTCATTGCGAATTCGTCGCTTCCAGGCGATTACAGCTGTATCTCTAAGACATTATCGAGCTCAGAGTCGGCACCAAAAGCGCGCGGCACTCACGTTTGTACAATTGTTTATATCTTGCTTAGTTAAAGTCTAATTACGGCTGCATACTAAATCTGCTACCCAGATGTGGAACACTCTGAAATAGATCATAAAGGTCCTGTGTCTCAATTCTACATGCAAACGCGCACATTGAGATTCCTACTCAGATTTCCGCCGTTTATGTTAATTTACCTGAGCGAAACGGACTCACGAGTAAGAGCATGTAGACTTTCAACAACATGCGAATTTTAACCGACTTTCATTGGCTACTTAGATTGGTCCGCGGCTCTGCTTAGTGACATTGTTAGTCATAAAAAACAAACCACCTCTCCTTGATACCCGGCTAGTTCCTAGTTCATTCATGGCTTGACCTCAGAGGCGATACTGTCCAATGCGAACTGAGCCAGTTGAAGGTAACCGTGTCCTGACAATTAGTCCAAGGCATTGCAGCATTCTACCGGAAGCACTTAACGGGTTATCTCCATAACTAGCGTTATGGAAGTTCATGGGAGTTTTCGCGCTTCTTGTATAACAAATCTGGTCTTGATCACTTGACGACCGGAAAATCCTAAAGATGCCGCATTGCAGGAAGACTTGACAAGTGATGCTGCGCTTCATCAAATTCCTACGAAGCAGTACGATGGGTTCGGTGTCTTGAATTCTCTGTTGTACTTGACAGCATCAGATTACTACTGTCCCATCTACAAGTCCGCGAACTGTTGTTTCAGTAATATTGTGTGTTTGAACAGTACAGTATGGTCCTGATGAACAAGTATTAAGTTGGTGGTGCGATCTTCCACTCTTTTGTATATTAAATCACAAGCACCATCAACAGTGTAGCTCAGATCTTCACGACGTATTTTACCTTTGATAGATCGTATTTGGAGTCCCACACCAGGCACAAGATGTTTGATTTAGCTGGTAGGTCTCCCGGTTATTATCACATCTTGTATGTGAAGCGCAAGGTTTGGTCTCAAAGGCTGTGCGGAATAGATGTCCCTGCGGCCGAAATACGCGGCCTCACCGGCATAGGTCATGAGTTGTGAGTATATCTTCTATCAGACACTTCATTTAGTCCAATTCTCAAGTTTAATTTATCACTGTTATCACTTCAACATGTCTGACAACTTTTCTTACCTGGCCTGATAGCATAATATCAATTCGCGCCCATTAAGTTCACACGGAAGAAAAATAGGTCCCTATGAGTTGACGGAAATGGCATTAGCCTATGTCACCAGACCAAATGCGAGAACCAGAGCGTATGATTTTTCGTAAAAATATCATTAAACGGCGAAATTTTCAATGAGATCTTTCAAGCTAAGAGAAACAATCTGGAACGAAACTTTGGTCTCATAGGGGACAAAGGAGAACAACATAATTTATCCCATGAGTCAGTTCAGCATGAACGTCGAAAAGATCCATGATACTTTGGAGTCTAGCAATTCGACACCATGGCTACTGGAAAAAAAGAACAACTTGCTAGTTGATCAACACAAGACACGTCATCGATGACAAACTAGTGATTAAGGTAATCTGTATCCACTGGGCATGTTCCATTCTGCCAACTCCTGAAAAATTCAATGAGCTTGGCCTGGCTTGAATTTGTCATAACGATACTCTCGCTTGCTGTTTCTTTCCTCGAAAGCCAGTTATCAGGTTATGTCTAGAGTTGACCTTTCCATTTTTTATCATTTCCTCCTAGTAATCGACAGAAAATGTCGCATTTGTTCCGGTTTTCCATGCGCATGCCATGCTGATTTCTGTCCAGAGACTACTCAACCAGTGTCTCCCATTACAGGTCCCTCCTTCTATCGCACGTTTGTTTCTTCTCAACCATGATTGGGACATGGATTCTGTCAAATCGAAGTTCATCGCCAATCCCCTGGGATGGTTGATCACCCAATGTCTTTTGCCGGCTGCCTCGGAGAATCCCTGTAAATCTGATAGCCCCGCCGTTATGGCATGTGTACGAGAAATCCAACGACTCGGCTATCCTGTCCAACGATACATGACACCATCGAAGCCAAGCTCAGGTAGGCTTTTTCTATCACATCTTTGGCGTTTCGGTTTTTCTCATAACTGGTGATCAGCAATTCCTACCTTTTTCATTTTCACCAATATCAATCCAACCAGCCAACCTCGCCAGATCGCGCGTGTTAATTGCCATTTTGTCCACACTTCTTACAATTTTCTCCCAAAGTCTGAAATAATAAACAAACTGAACCATCACAGGCGATGAGAGTTGCTTTACGCTTTCACCATCCATTAGTGTACACCACTATCCATAAAGCCTGTCGTCCGGAGGCTGCTATGCTTCATTATGTCTACGCAACTCCTCTTTCACAGGTTCGGCAGAATCCGTACTCCAGAAGAGGCTGCTATGCTTCATTATGTCTACGCATTCGCATGTCTACGCAACTCCTCCTTCACAGGTTCGGCAGAATCCGTACTTCAGAGTGAGCAGTCACGTAGGTTGGGCCCACTAACCAGTGTATATCTGTTCTTCAAACTAGTGACCAAATTCAGCATAATTCCAACTTTTTCGTGCTGTTTCTGTCTATGAAACGATGAATTAAAAAACGAAAAGAGTCTACTTATCTTCATCCTCTTCCAACGGGATCCTACGAGGTCGTGAACTCGTTGGACCAAGCCCTGATTACGAACATTGGCGCTGTCTTAATATCATACATTTTCTTTCGAGAAAAATGTTTAGGAAAGTAAAAAATGCAATGCTGTCAACCAAACTATTGAACGACTGGGTCAGCTGAAATGGAAAGCATACCAAAGGCGAGTTTCCCTGGGTGAGAACTGAACAGGACAGTCATTTTAAAATGCAGTGCTCGCTAACAACTTTGAATGTAGGCATCTCATGTTTAATGCGACCATATTCTAAGCAATAACGCAAGTTAATCTTGAAGTACGGTATTCCTAATTAGCAGTGCTCGCTAACAACTTTGAATGTAGGCACCTCATGTTTAATGCGACCATATTCTATGCAATAACGGAAGTTAATCTTGAAATACGGTATTCCTAATTAGTACCAGCTCCGTAACATGACTGAATCAGGTTAAATTGAGGGTGTGTGACATAGACCAGCAGGGGCTATTGATTTGATCTGTCTGTACGCTCTCATGTTCATTCTTCTAAGTTTGCTGAGTAATTAATACTGACCAGTAGTATACTGTGGACGTTTGTTGGTCTTTAATGCTTTGGCGAAAAGTTACATTGATCAAAGAGGAACGGGTTAGAGGAGGGTCCGTATATCCGGGGATAAATTTGACAACAAGGCATACATAATCAATCCAGGAACAAAATCAACTTCTTCGGGTAGGACTAGTTCACGGGAAGTACTGAATTGTTTTTTTTTTTCAAATTTGAGATAATGTGCGGAAGATGGTTCGATCGTGCACTCAGGCAGATATAATTTTGTTCTGGTTCTCTAACAGCAGCAGAGACGATAAGCGGATAATATTGCGAATTAAAATGATAGTTGAAAATAGAGGGAAATGTTGGTAGCTCAAGTTGCATAGATGGTCGTTGGCTTGTTCGCTCAGCTGGGTAATTTGATTGCAAACGTTTCATCACCAATCGAGGTGACATCATCAGTGCGCTATTGGGGAGCGTAGGAATGCATAGCGGTGGGTTAGTAGTTGTAGACTGCAATGCACTGATGATGTCACCTCGGTTGGTGATGAGACGTTTGCAATCATACTGCCCAGTTCAGTGAACAAGCCAGCGACCATAGTTGAAAATGTCCTTTCTGGATGCCACTTGGTTTCTACTGGTGCTTGCGTTCACTCCAATCCCGTTCCAGATGGAGTATGTCCTGTCTGTTGCAACACCCCTCCATCCTCTCGAGCCAAAATTGAGTTCTTCTCCGAATCACCTCCGTGCTCAGGCAAACCTTCAACACAGTCGTCTGGACAGCCTAACAATCATTCAGGTTTGTACGGACTTTCTTGCGGTCATCGATACTGTTCGGAATGCTGGTCATCTCATTTGTCTATCCAAATCGAAGCATTGACTCTGGATATCAAGTGTATGGGACAATCGTGCAAACTGTCGGTGCCCGAAGACTTTTTTTTATCTATGCTCAAGGGATCTCCTTTGAGAGATAAATATCAAAAATTCATTTTTCATCGAATGGTCCTGGTAAGTTATGGGTCCCCTTTGTTCGCCTATGTTTTTGAGTTGTACCATTTAATGCATTTATTGGTTGAGACGGTCACTTTCAGGATGTAGCTTATAACCTGGAACGATTATGGTTTGCGTTTCGCGAAAATTGGCATGCGACGTGCAAATCGCAAGCGGAGTGGAATTCGACTTGTTAGTTCCGTCCTCTAGTTTTCGGTTCATGACTAGCAAGCATACGACGTCTTCTCTTCTTACTGAGGGGCAAGTTTAGAGTGCCCGGTCGTGTTAAGCTTTCGTTGGGATTGAACAGTGACTTCACTCTGCATGGTTAAGCTTTACAGTGCTGTATCCTGTCTAGATGAGAGCCAATCACTCTCCTGTTTTGCCGCTTGTGGCTGAGCTGTTAAGGGTTCAACCACCAGACAGAAGGTCGGAGTTTCTTTAGGTAGGCACTGCTGATGAATCCCAATAAGAATTGAACAAGTGTACAGACTTTTCAGCCTCACTGACAGAACGAAGTCTCAGTTGAAAACTACCTAATATCTCCGCACCAATTCATTTTACGAAAATAGGTTTGATTGAGAGGGCGCATTTTGGTGATGTCAGCGACGACCAGTTGTACTAACTGGATTGATGGTTTGGAAGTAGAGAAGTGCCTTACGAAGTCGGCATTGTAATTGTAAAATGTGTTTCTTAGGCTATCATTATTGGTAAGGTTTGTGGAATCGCCGGACCATCTTATAGTATTGGAGATAAATTCCCGCACGCAATCAGCGTGGGAATTTGGGCATCCTTGCCTTAAAGTGATTCAGCTTTTCTCGTTTCAGCGTGAGCCTACTATCGTGATCTTTCAAAAAGCAGCTGTCCCAGGTTGGCTGTCTGAAGCAAATTCAGCTGACTACTTGTGTGTTGTTGTGACCCGAAAGGCGTACGCCGTTCGTGAGATGCAGTTGCAGTTTGTCGACGTCGTTTTTTATTTTGCTGAACTAGGCTTCTATTCATCCGTCAATTTGACAATGTACTTCAAAGTGTGATGAAGCTGATGATATTTCTTTGAAAAGCTCCACCAAATCCTTTGAATAATATTTCCTGATTTCAAGAAGTTTTCCGTCCCAAGTGTTTTGGAAAAGGCTTCACTTCGATCGAGAAGCAATAAATCCACTGGCCGTTTTTCGGAGTTTTTCTGGAGCGATTTCGGCTTTGTTGTGATGACATCTCGAATCCTGACGGTAGCACCCGCTGCCGTATTGTGATACAATGATACTCACTGTAGTTTCATTGCTGTTGAGCTGTGCATTCTTGTAGGAAGTCTGTTTACTAGCCTCCTCCAACATACGCTTACAAAAACTGCAGCTGTGCTACACGACTGCCTGTTTGTCTGGCTCCTCCGTCAATCAGTAGCCGTGTAGACCACACCCATTATGGTTAACTAGGCCGTCCTAAGCTATCGTCTGATTGCTTTCTACGCTTTTCTTCACACTAGAAAATGCGTGGGGATTCTATGTAAGAATCCACACCCCAAGTTTCATCGATTCATAACACAGAATGTAGGGTATTGTTTGTAAATGGCAAGTTGTTGCACTGTCTCGAGGTTGTACTTTCCACGGTGTTTGCAAGCTCCTGCGCAGTTTATCAGCTTTCCAGCGTAGCCGGCTGTATCTGTGATAAAATTGTTCATTAAAGTGTAGTGGTTGTGCATCTGAAACTTGTGTTTGTGAGAGTACGGCATGTGGAACTCAGGCAACCGTGCATCCGTCTTCGGTTGGTTCCTACCGCTGTCCGTCCCACAAACAGCCAGCTGAATTCTGTCAGCGCTCAACTGCAACACCAGTGTCCCGTTTCACTTTCCATCTGTCAATGTTCGCAGATCGTTTGAGCTTTACGTCTGTCTAAGGCTAGCAGTATTGAAAAGAAAGCACTCATGTTTTTCGTCGTGCAGACCAGCATAAAATCGCTATCATTTTTAGTGTCATCCTCTGCTGAGGTTTTGCATTGGAGCCGATTGTCCTGTGATCATCCGTGCGCTGGAACCACCCAAGGCTCGCCTGATTCACTGCTCGCATTGCCAGTCTCGTTTCTGCTTCGCTTGCGGTGGGCAGTACCATGCACCAGTTGACTGTGATACTATGAAATTGTGGTTGGCTAAATGTGAAGATGACTCCGGCACTGCCACCTACATTGCTGCAAATACCAAGGACTGTCCAGAATGTCATGTATGTATCGAGAAAAACGGAGGCTGCAATCACATGGTATGTTACTGTTTTTGTAAACACATGATCGCGACAATCTTATCATGTTCTGTTTGTCACTTTGGCATGACCATCTATCTGACCTAACCGTATATGTATAGTGTTTGGTGTTGTTTTGGGTTACGGCCATCTGACGGAAAATTCGCGCGAAGCGTTTATTCGTTTACATACCTTCGTTTCAACCAACAGGGGTTTGTGGCAATATTAGACTTGGCTACATGTTTTTTAGAATCTGCAGTTACCTATTCAGTTAGATTTCTCAGAACTCTTCCAGAAAGTTCATTAGTTTGTGGGCTCAGGTTTACTAAACGATGGAGAACATTATCGACGGCCATACAAGCTTTGGTTTCCGTGTCAGTTGTGACGAAACTAAAAGAATCAATCTCGAGACAATTAGGGTTGGGCTGTTAACTGATAGAATATCAATTTTACACCTTGTAGTACCCTAAAACTGAGAAATTTGTGTCGATCAAAAATGGGTTGCCTCTGCATCATGCCACCATTCCGAAATTCCGGTATTCTTGTAGTTAAAAGGTAAAGGAGCCCAAGAAATCAGAGATGAGTCGAATTGGGAAAAATGTTTCTTTTCGAGATTGCCGTTCGAACGTATGATTGTGATGTCCTTGAATTCGCGAACTTCCACGATTGCTTGTGCGCGCACTGTTGCTGACAACGGAAAACTTACCTGGTGTATTTTTAGCGCCAAAGAAAGTGAAATTTTTGAATGTTACTTTGCAAACTTCATTTTGCTTGAATGGTCGGGAGGCGCTATTCACCTCCTTCAGTTTTGTTAAGATACTTCGGAAGCTCGCATCCAATGAGCCCCGAAAAAGACTTAACCGCTGTCCATTTATTCCTTATCTAAATCTTATGTTACTGCTGTCTAGCTGCCGTTCGTGAGTTATGGTCAGCATTACCTATGTGATTTACTTCACCACAGTTTCGTTAACGATATTCACCTTCTCTGTGATTTTCAGGTATGCACAAAGTGCTCTCATGAATTTTGTTGGGTTTGTATGGATGGTAAGTTGTTTGCTCAGTCGCACATTTCAGTGTTACTCTGCATGTTTATGCATCGTACTGAAACTCGGAGTGTCAGCGTGATGGTCCGTTTGTGTCCTTCGCTTACTCAACAAGCTTACGGATCTACCCAGTTGCCCGGGGAACTTGGGCTAAGTAGCCTTCATGTATATGGCGACAGCATGCTCTCCACTAGGAAATTGTTCGCAACGTGCGTCCTGCTGGATTTGCGGCCATGTGGTGGGGAAATCGCCCGAAACTTAACCATGAAGTAACAGAGATCCCAGGGAGTAGTCTGTTCGCCGCTGATTTTCTCTGACCAACACTAAGAGTGGAGAATAATATTGTTTTCAAAACGGTGCATGAGCATGTCTCCATATGACCAATAGGTGTAATTGATCTTGCAAGAGATAATTTTTGCTCAGTGGTGACTGAACATTTGAACCGAATGTCTCTGAACCGAACCGGACTAATGGGCTTTTGCTTGCGTAAAGCACGACAGCCTTCACAATTTGTGCTCGAAGGTCGCTTTTCACAGTATAGGCACTGCTCAGATATCTCTTAAAATATATAACCCGATTCACTTGTTCAGCTTTTTTTACGTTGAAAATTGTTTGTTAAACATGTGAACTTGAATTCTGCTTGGCATTCCAAAGTGTTCTTTAGAACGGTAGTCTACCTCTGTAGCGTCGTACGTACAGTCGAGTGAACTCTTTGTTGTAAACTGAGAGTATGGTATCCACATAGTCTGCTCGGTTAGCTAGTCATCCTGTTCGTGTTGTTGTGTTCGAAGCACAACTTAGCGTCCAGTTGTTTAGTCACCGGAACCCCACTCCAACCACCACCGTACTGTGGCCGGGGACTTTGGCCGACCGTCTTTAATGAATACTGATCATCACCTCTTCGTTCTGCAGTGGTCTGCTCGAGTTCCTCCATGGTCATTTTTGGTTCCTGTTGTCATAGAAGGTCCACCTTCATCAGTGCGGTCCTACCGTTGGAATATTACCATCTTGGCATAAATAATCAAAGAGAAGTCTTCAATGTCCATTACTGGGTAATATTTTTCAGTTTGGTCCACAATACTCTCTAGACGCTAGGCTGGAAATCAAACTACAAACCCTTGTCGGCTTTACGGTCTAATACCAGCGCCGTCCCATTCTTAATTGTAACACTCCTACGCTCCAACTTGAAGGTCATTACCTAAGTCCCGAATTTCAAACTGTCAAACCACCACAAACACCCCGGCTTACTTGATTCTTCTCCTGTCTGCATCATCTTTCCCTCGTTCCGATCTGGTTACTGTTTACGAAAACGAGGCCGTCGTTAACCATCTAGAGCCGCATCACCCAACTTCCTTTCGTTTTCCACTGTAGAAGAATAACTAGATGTGTTTTAGCACATCATCATCACCNTCAGCTGTAATAACCGCGTACTCGTCGTACAGTGGTTGTAACTGCCACAGTTTCATTCACCGATGATATGGGGGGGGGGTAAAGTAGCTGCGTACTGCATGCGGGAAACAACACGGGATCGCAGAGTGAATTCCATAGATCACTTATTTACGGAAACGAGCGCTTTCAAGTAGAATGGGGTTGGGAAATACCACAAACTTAATGATGGATGATTACATTTGGCGATTATCACATACACTGAATTTTCTATTTGAGGTTTGAAACCACGTCGGTTTAGACTTACTTGCAGAGTTAATTGTCTCTACACTAAGAAGCACTCTCCGTCAGTATTTCTGATGGTGTCTAGCATACGCAGTAACATAGTATGCATGACGCACAATGGTGTATGCAACAAATAAAGTGATTTGGTTGGTGGCGACATCACCATCTTGGACGGCTGTGCATCGACTAGTAACGGAAACTGGTGCCTGACTTTGATTAAAAAAAACTGATATTCGTTGAATGTTTGCAATGAATGCTCACACTACCAGCGTGTCACACTTTTCAGACAGTCATTTGAATTTTGTTGATATCACTGATCAAATTAACGCGCTTCGAAACGTACGGAATATACAATCCTAATCACAATTTTAAATATACTGTTTGGTTAAAGTGCTGGTGTCCACACACCTGACAACACCTGCTCGACGCTAGGTGTAAAAACTGTTCAGCTGTAGCACTCTTCCGGTGCCTAGCTGCCACGCCACCCGCAGGAAGCACGAGGGCTGGGATACTGCTAGGTCGCCCAAGCCTAGACAGGGGAAGTCGAGAGGCAGAGGTCGGGTTCGAACCACGAACCTTCCGGTCAGTAAATTCGCGCTCTAACCACACTGTACTTTAATCCTATTTAATTCAGTAGTACAGGGTGTGATCAATTTGAAAAAAGTTAATGGCATGTCAGTAAATTCGCGCTCTAACCACACTGTAGGTGTACTTTAATCCTATTTAATTCAGCAGTACAGAGTGTGATCAATTTGAAAAAAGTTAGTGGCATTGACACTGTGAGCAATCACGCACATCAATTCTAAGTTCGTCAATGTCTTTTTAGCCTGGCTAGCCTAGCAGAACCATGATCTCGAGTTCAATACCACAAAAATACTGTTACCACGTAATGAAATACTGACCTTCGTCTCATTTCACAATATGAAAGATTGAGCTTAAATGTACACCTCTCGACCCCTGCTCATCTGGTATCGGTCGTCATCATTAATGAACAAGAAGTCTAAGTAAATAACTTGTGCGAAATATATCCGGCTTTTAGACGTTGGCTTTGAAACAGCAGATGAAGATTCCATAAATTCACTGTGAGTTGCAACCTGCTGACAAACGCACTCAGTTAGCGCTGAACGGTTGGTCAAGAAACACTACCGCAGAATTCCACACCTTGTGGACAATTCAAAACCATCCGCTACACTAGTTTTGAATCAAATGCTTTCCGAATAGCGACCATCTCCATGGAGAAGAGAAAACCGCGTTTTTCTCTCAGTTGACTCTCTTCAGCTAGATCGCCATAGTTTGCTACGTCTCCCTAGCGTTTGGTTACTGTCTTGAGTGAGAGGAAGAACACTAAATGTCTGTCTACCAATATGTTGTGAATTATCACTTTAAACAATTAAGCCGTTGTACTCTTTCGGTGTATAACTGTCGTGCAACCCGAGGAAACAAGAAAGACGGGCTTTTCGAGGCATGAGCGATCTTCAGATTCGACCTCTTGGTCGTGCCTCACATGGTGAGCTGCTTCACTAATTTGACCTGTTCTTCACCCAGCTGGTCTTTATCTCCCAATACTCATCTACGTCATACTTGTTTTGGATGATGCCATTTTACATGAACACTGTTCACCCTGTTGACAACTCAATTCAATATTCCAGCTTGGAACACCCACCGGGGCTCATACAATTGCAGTCGATACAACTCTTCTGAGGCTATGAAAGACATCCATCGGAGCAGTGCCCGAGAGGCGCTGCGACGCTACGTTTTCTACTATGATCGTGTGAGCTTTATTGCCATTATTATTAATACTTGTGAATACTTGTTGGTTCTTATGTAAACGGAATCCAAACTATTACTGAGCCAACCCTGTGCACAGAGCTTCATTAATAGTCATTTTGATTGCATTTGCTTCGAAGCTGCTCCCTAGATGTGTATACGTGTGTCTTGTCTGTTTCGGCTAGGGTGTCAGAATTGTCCACAATGGATCTTCGCTTTCTCAATTTTTCCCGACCGAATAGATCACCGTTTTTACTCAGCATGTTGTTGTGATAACCATGTTTTCTACAACGCTTTATCGCGAGCATCGAATATCGAATTCGAGCAAAATAATGATAAACCATAGACCTAATACACTACTCATAAGGTTGCTGAAAACTTCCGGACAGTCTGCAACCGCCTTCGCTCTTCTTGGGGCTCATGAGGTAGGTGCAGTCTCCGATTTTCCGTCAACCTTATGTTCTACTCGAATCCAAATAGCACGAAATTCGAGTGATACACCTTTTTCCTGGATATTCATTGGTCTCCACAGGGAAGCTATAGTTCGGAATCTGTCCGGGTACAGCCGCGCGAGGGCCTTCGCGCGGAATGCAGTTCATTAGACTGGCATAAGTAGGTCGGTTATCTGAATCTAGGTTACCTAGGAATCGCGGTTTGTTGACCCCAGGCCATCCGCGTACGTCTGCACCCAAACATTCACTTCGCAGCGTTCATATAGTGCCCCCTTAAGTTAGCCGCTTATGTTCATTTGATTTGAAGTCACGAAATCCGTTGACAGGGCACTATTCTGCAATCAGTAAGAGCTTATCGTAAAGTTGCGCTCAATTACTGATCCTAACCAAGGTTATAAACTATCTATCCAGTGTGTTTCGGTTTTAAGTTATGAGTTTCACTTTGGTTCGTATTTGAACAATAAAACTTTTACGGTTGAGGACTCTACGCAAAATTATGGATCCAATTTTCGCGTTTCTGTGTCCGAGTTGAGGACTCTACGCAAAGATGATGGATCAATTTTCGCGTTTCTGTGTCCGAATGTTCGAGTATTCAAATGTGGTTAAGGAAATATCCTTTGGCGCTGATGTTCCAGGCATTTCTCTATTAGTTTGCTGCACTATTCGTACCATCTGTTTCGATAAATCTCCACTCTCATCTCCCGTTGTTCTGATTTTTGTCATTGTCAGTGGGCCAACCATGAACAGAGCCTCCGATTGGAGCAAGAACATCGCGCGGCCGTGAGCGCACGCATCCACCAGAAGGTTTTGGCGATGGACGGCACGTGGATCGATTGGCAGTACTTGTTGACAGCAGCTGAAACCCTACGCAACTGTCGATACACCTTGAAGTATACCTATCCGATGGCGTATTTCTCCGAGAAGCTTATTAACAAAGACCTGTTTGAGTATCAGCAGGCGGCGTTGGAGGCCGAGGTAGAAGACTTAGCCTGGAAAATCGAACGGGCGGAGATCACTGATCGTGCGGCCCTCCAGAACGCTATGGACATGTGTGAGAAGCACCGTCTGACGCTGTTGAAACAGTTCTTAAAGGAGTGATACAACCTAGCATTTGTTGTATACAGCGGTCCAAGTTTTGTCCTTGCTGCGTTGACGTAATTTATGCACCTGAGGGGAACATATTTACCTGTTATCAGACGTCCAATTTTTGCTTTTTTTCTACACCTTTTATCGAGGTTTCCACTTTTACTCCCAAGTTTCTCAAGATATAAAGCACCTGAACTTGTTTACATCAAATCATTTGATCCTTCTTCTGGTTGGGATGCAGTGTTCATTAATTCGCTTTTATGCTGAACGATACTACGCTACATTATTTGACTTCCGCATCAGTGAGGGTTCCTGTATAGTACAAAATCCTATTTGCCTATGACAGTTATGAAGTGAACTTCACGAGTTGACTCGGATAAAATTGCACATCAAGAATTAGAGACAGATCAGCAGTGAAACTTGAACCTTGTTAGAAGTGTTTATTGTCGAGGAATTTCGCTCCATAATTTAGCTAATCTTCATTCTAATCTAAACCGTTCGTTCGTTAATAGCGCAACGTGCAATTTCCGCATCCGGACATCTACAGTGCTGTGTGGCCAAAATTTATGGTTGATGTCAGATCCGTGTTAAACGCTTGCTGATCGTAACGTTAAAGCTGGTCGCTCCAGAGCGGTGGATGCAGACCCAGTCTTCTTGCTTTCAGGTGAAAATATAATTTTATGATAGTGATGTCCCTCCTCGTAATTTGTAAAAGTTGTATTGTCGACTAATAGAGAGGATGGGGCCAACGATGTGTATAGTAGCGCTCACTTCCCACCGTGGTGCTGATGGTCACTTAGTTGGCAAATACCTAAAGCAACTTGAGAAGGCGAGTCAGAAACAGCTACTCCAGGATGTGTGGTTAATACTAGAGGAGTGGAGTGTTTTTCTGAGTATATTACTGCGTTTTTAAGCTGCTAATCGGGCTACTAGAGCCTTTGTCTACTGTATTTGTTCATCAGCATTTAATGTCACCAAACACGATTAGGCATTATCAGTATCTGGCAGCGAAATACAGTTTTGGTAGGGCAACCTGCAAGTATCCCAGCTCTCCTGCTTCCTTTGGGTGGCTTCGCAGATAGGCACGAGAGGGTGTTACAGCTGAACGATTTATACTTCGTCCGAGAAAGGGGACACATATATGTATGTATAAGAATTTTCCATTCAACGATATAGCTTTACAGCTAAACAACTTTCAAGGGAGGTATATCAGAGGTCGGTACATTGGTGCAATTTTCGCTGCGCCATTGTACTTGCAGACGACAGCAAATATGGGGGATAAAGTTTGTCCCCAATGTGCAAATATTTTGGAGTGGATAAGAGCAGTGATTTTGGAGGCAGTTATGCTGTTTCAAATAGTAAGGAAAGGTAGCGCCAAGACAAACTACCAAGATGGAAGCAGCATCAAAATCATCATCACAAACAGCATGATATTAGTATTTAACATTGGTGCTTCACTGCAGTACAACCATGACTTATTTGTGAAGAAAATAAAGGTAGACAGGAAAAAGACTTAGCGCCACATTAATACAGTCAGTCCCAGGTGTCTACATCTATAGACAATTAGACAATGTGAATAGGAACGTTTCGTAATCTCGCTCATACATCTCTGGCAGGTCAAGAAATGGCCACCTCTGCTTCCGCCAATCTGATTTGGGCGTGGAAAACCGAACTCTTCGGCAAACGATGGTTCGGCATACAAAACACATTCTGGTCAATGCAGCTAGTGCTCGAAATTCTCCAATGTTAGTACAAACGAAAACTCGCTTTCTAATGGCATCGTTACGGATTCGCTGACGCCGACCCACGTGCGCTATGTTCCTGAGACAACGATTGTCGAACACCTGAAGACGTCTGAGTTCCGCTGCTGGAACAGGCCAATTCTCATAGCTATACAACAAAACCGCCCGCACTGTATCGTCACAATTTTTTAGGCATGATGGCCAGCAGCCAATTCGACGGTGCCCAAGCTGGGATCGGAATATTATTCGTCGAAACTGTAATTTTGGCCAAGACGTTGCCCGGACCAACTGTGGACTGGGCTACACTGTGTGGACACGAACAGCTTCGCGGTCCTACTAATGGTCATGTCTTGAACATCGTTTTCTCCTTTTGTTGGTCAGATATCAATAAATCTCCGCGGTCAATCGACAAATGGTATGCAACCAAATGGGTTCCTGGTAGCCATATTTGGTAATAATCACACACAGGCGTTGTGTTCATTCTGAAATATCAGCGGAAATATTTACATAGGCATCATTATTATGGGAATAAAGGTTTACTGCACATTCCTGGGGATATATATATATGCTGTTTAATGTACACAGGTGTACACCCATTTTACTATTGTGAGTAAGTCTTTGAATCCGGGATCCGAACGGGTAAGACCTTCAAGCAGACTCGCAAAGGCCTGTTGTTAGTCATCAACCGGTTTACGTATGTTGGTATTAATTACATGAGCACCACATTGAACAATGAGATACCAGTGTTAACTTTCAGACCACGGTTTGCCGTGATATCCTCCACCCTTGCCTCACCATAACTCACTGGTGATTGTCAAGGACGAATCGATTCGGTTGGCATGACCCAGCAGGCGGTACTGGTTTCACTCGGGCATAGATTCATCTGTTAGGAACCGATATAGTGTGAGAACACTGGTGACAGGCAAGTCCGAATTTCCTGAAAGATGGGTCCATAGGTTCGCATTTCCACAAGCCTGCCAGTTGTGTTGTCATCGCTAATCGGTTACCAATGGGTAGTTTACGTTTAAGATTTGAGACATACTGAGTCTCGAAATCCGTCACGCTCACGTGTATAGCTTTTCATACGGTCTTTCCGGCCTGTGCCAGACTTCCCCATGATATGCACTCAGAATAAATTTTACCTAACTCACATAAAGGTTGTCTTTATATCATTGTTTTGGTCTTTCTTGGACTCGAATACCATTCTTCCAATGTCCCTGTATCAGTCGCTTGTCTGAAATCGTTGGTGATATCCATCTCCATATCGGCAAAACAAGATCAGCTTTCTAAGAACGCCAGATTAGGTAGTAAAAAGCCACTTGTAGAAGACTGTACAAATCAAACAACGTCCTGTCTACTTAGTTCAGTTTTTCACACCCGCTGTCACAGCTAGGTAGTAAAAAGCCACTTGTAGAAGACTGTACAAATCAAACAACGTCCTGTCTACTTAGTTCAGTTTTTCACACCCGCTTGCCACAGCTTTCTAGTATGATCTATCTGTGACGGTCCTGAAATCGGAATTCCGCAAATGTCATTATTCGGAGTTTAAAAGCCTGATTGGCCACCTAAGTTTGACCATGGTTTGATTCGCGAATGGCGTAAGCCACTAGTCCATCCGGCCGTTCCATACGCTGTACAAAAATGTTTTATTGGCTATCCTGATTGGGATTCCGTTGATCTGATGCGGCCGACAAATTCCGAAACCGATATCAAACTCAGTGACTTACCTAACCGTTTATAACAACTCACCCACCTTACTAAGCTGAAGGCAAAATCAGTTCCGCAATGTCCCATTCATATCTTCCTGAAACTAGTTTCTGGAACATGTAAAATGCTCCCAAATACGGCTATTCATGGCGACGCTTCTAGATCGATTGACTGAACTAACTGGCCTGTAGAGAGACTCCAAACAGTGGTGGTATTCGGATACGGAAAACTGGGGAAATGACGTACATTTGACATAGTTATGATAAGTCTTTGGTGGAAACTCTGAATACCCTTACTGACTTGATATCTGTTCAAGCACTTCGAATCACTACAGAAATTTCCTATTAACTTTTATCGCTTGGCAACTAAGCTTGCCGCGCTCAGTCACATAAATGCAAGTGATATTCCACTTGTTCAATAACAAACGTGTGTTACGAATAAGGAAAATTTGATGATTGACACAATAGTCTACCTAATGCTGTTACAGTTTGAGTGAAAGCTTGCGGAGGTTGGTTTGTCTTCGAGAGGTCACTCCGAATCACTATACTGTGAAGTACCGAGCTTGAACATCGAGACATACTATCGGAAGGACCCGCTAGGCATTAGAGTGAGTTGGTGGGATGTCTTCATTCGTCCGAAAATTATCCAAACCGGTTTCGCGTCACACTCCTCTGCCCACGGTCATGTAGGAACTTCTTACTCACACCTTCCACAATCCTGAAATTTTGCTTCGACTAGCGCAATAGTTTCCGTCACGAAGGGACTATACCTTACCGTGGTGTGATGGTTTGTGTACCCGACAACCCATTAAGCTATACTGGCTAGTGTCTGCGCGATGCTCGCAGAGTCACTCATTCCAGGTTGGTCAATGGTTAGAGGACTAACTAACACAATCTCCTGGTATTCCAGGGTGGGGGGTTGTGGTGACGTATTCCGTAAAAATGGTAATGTACTTGTATTTCCAGCCAAGTACCGCTGCCTTAATGTTAGCCTTTTGAGCCAAAGGCTTTGGTTGAGGACCTTAATCGTCCTGTCTAGGTGTGCGCGCCCTGGCAGTATCCCAGCCCACGTACAAACATGAACTGCACATATACATATAAACTCACACCATATTAGCCGTCGCCTGGTGCCATCAAGCAGATCACCTTACCCGCTACATAGAGCAGGGTGGGCAAACGATAACATGCTACTGATTTTGCCTTCCTTTTTCTCTTCCACACACTTTATTCCTCCCTCTCCCCACCCCGTTAATCGCTGTCCTTGTAGGCCCAAAAATTAGGACTGCCAACTTCGTTCTTCCGGCAACTGTTTTAAAAGCAACACCGCGTCATCCGGCACCGAAATCCTCAAGTAGCTCTCCAAGCACGGACACAGTCTATCTGGCTGCCCTCAATGTCCGCAACCTGAAGCATGCAGGACAACAAGCTGCTCTTGCTCTCACACTTGACTCTCTTGGCATTGATATGGGATGTGTACCAGAAACAAGAATTAAAGATGCAAGCACAGTGGCTGAGCCAACTGCCCCGTCAGTCTGCACTCACTTCAGGCTACACACCTCTGGTGATCCAGAGGCTGCTGCAGCGGGGTATGCAGGGGTTGGTATCGTCCTAATTCACCGGGCGGAACTATCCCTGCATCACTGGATCCTTGCATCAACTGGATAATCGTTGATAGTCGCCTCAGTACGTCTGGCAACATCTGTGAAGAAGTCTCACAAGGGGAAGGTTGATCGATATCTATTTGTTGTGTGTTTACGCCCCAACTGACTATAACTCTGACACCGTAGAGACAAGTTTTATGACACCATTAATGTGCACTTG